CATAATTCCTTTCATCAAGTGATGATTCACTTGGTGGAATGTTTTTCCTGAAGATCAATATCTTCAGGTTTCATAATGTTTTAATAAAAGATATTTCTATTATTATCTTGAATTGTTTAGAATTTTCGAGATATTTGTTTTTATGTACGACGTAGCGTTTCCTACGCTGCGTCGCACTTACTGCGCCTTTCCTGTTCCTGCGCTGCGGGCGACATCTAGTGGACCCGCGACAGCTACCATGTGATTGGCCAGAGCAGCAACTCTGACCAATCTGTCATGGGATTCATACCACGGTTGTGTACTGCCAGTATAATACCAGCAGTACACAACCACAGTATAATACCATGGATGTAGTCCTGCAACCGCAGGACTGGATTGGCCAGAGTTCCCAGTCTGGCCAATCTGCTGCGGTATAATACCAAGGTTGTACCCCTGATATAAAACTTCAGTATAAAACTTAATACGGTGGTTGTATATTAGGGGTACAACTGCAGTATAATACCGTGGGGTTGTGTAACACCGGTTTAATACCGGCGGTACACAACCGTGGTATTATACCACAGCAGATTGACCAGAGTGGGAACTCTGGCCAATCCAGTCCCGCGGTATTATACCACGGGACTAATACCATGGTATGAGTCCTGCAACAGATTGGCCAGAGTTCCTGCTCTGGCCAATCACAGCAATTGCAATGATGATCCAGTAGTGTGGATTCTATAGTTACACCTATACTTCTTGAGTGTACCAGGCAGGCGTTTCAAAACGCCTGCCTGTTAAAATACCAAAAACTGCTTCTTTCAGATTTTCCTGGGTGTACCAGGCAGGCATTTCAAAACGCCTGCCTGCTACACTCAAGAAGTATAGGTGTAACTATAGAATGTTTTAGTACACCTCCACCCAAGAAAAAAAGGAAGGCATTTCAGAATAAGCCAGCCAAACATTTACGAGTAAAAAATGCGTTACGCAATGCGTAACTGTTATGCCCAGCTCTTCCCATAACAGATTATTTGCTGGGGTGGCATTGGGCAGCAAAGCCGGGATATTTTGGCAGGCTTGCAAATTTCAGTATGACTGAAGGTCACTGAAAGGCAGCTTTGGCTGTACAGTATAGCCAAAGTCAGGAAAAATACAGGAAAGCACAAGCTATAGTGATTTTGACCCTTGCAATAATATTAATCCTAGAGCAGGGAAAAATGCCACACAGCAGGGCATTTTTTTCAGCAAAATTTTTCTGGTGAAAGATTAAAAAATCAGGATTTTCCCCAACTTTGGCTCTCCTGACCTGAGCAAGAGTTTCCTTTTTTTTAATGCTGCATGACACCTGATTTTTTGAATCTTTCTCGGCTCTGACCCCTGAAGCTTAACTGGCTTGGCTGTCAAGAGGCGTCATCTATTAAACTGAATTTCAAAAAGGAGAGGATAAATCATTCAATAAAACATGGAAGGTGCCACTTCCTGAATGTGGCAATGCTCTAGCATCCAGCAACTGGTTGTCAAGAAACTTACAAACCCAATTTCTCTTGAGGCCAGTGAACCTTGCCAAAATCCTGTTTTGACAAGACTCACTGAGCCTCACTAAAGGAAAAAGCAGTCACAACTTCCGTGATTTTGCCTGGCCAATTGGCCAATCATCAGCCAAGAAGAAATCACCTGATTTATTCCTGACCTAGTTTGAGCACCCAAGTATAAAAACCTTCATTTCTCTTTTAGAGGAAAAGTGAGAATCAAGGGCAAAAGGGTCCTTTACCTAAATGCAATCAATTCTTTTGAGCTAACCAAGCAATCTTACAACCTTCCAACCAATTCTTAACCCACTTTACAAATAAAAACAACAATTCAGCCATTTTTCTAGCATCCAAATGACAATAGAGGCAACTGAGAAGTAACTCCTCTGAATGAGAGTAGATTCCTTGAAAACATGCACTATGATGACTGAAAAATCCAATTTCTTTGTCAGGGATCAAATGGACCATTAACCAAACATGGTGGCCTATTCAGGTTTTTTAAAAATTCAACCTGTGATTCATGACAGAAGGCTTGCCCATTACATTCAAAGTCAATGGATAAAATATTCAAAGCAACAACAAAAATCTTGTTATCCTGGAAAGGGAAATACTTATTGTATGCCCTTTTCCACTGGCCTTATTAATTTCTATATTAATTAGAATTAATAGTAAAGATGCAACATCAGGAAATCCTGATGTTGCAGGAAGAATGTTCCTGATGTTCTGGATGAAGTGATGGGAAGGTGGAGTGCAACACTCCATTGTCTTTTGTCCATTGTTTAGATTAACATCCTTTCATGAAATGAAAGGAATATTATCTGCCTTGCATTTCTTGGACATATCCTGATTAAAACAATCCCTATTGTTTTCCTGGCCTTCCCACATTTCTTAAATGAAGAAATGTGGCATTGTGTGTTTCCCACTCTTCTATGATTATTGTGCAGAGTCTACTTATATATGGTGTGTTCCCATTTAGCAGACTCAGAGTGTGTTCTGGGTTGGTACAGTAAAGAGGATAGGCTAATCATATCTTACTAAAGCTAATACAGAATATATCTCTCACCTGTTTGTGTTTGTGTTTGTTGTGTACCAGTGTAAATAATAAAGGCATTTATTATTTGTCATCCGACTCACAATCCTTTAGTAAATAAGGGATAACAATCTTCAGACTGCAGGTGATTCAAGAATGAAGTAAGAGCCAGAAATATGTTTCATCTCAATGTTTCAAAAATACACTCCAATTCAACTTGAGCTAGTGAATATATACATACAAGTACCTACTGGGTATAACTGTTACTTGTGGATGATTAAAAAAAATACTGATCTTGAATTCCCACATTTCCCCCCCCCATTAAATTCAATCGGGTGAACGCATGCATCATTCTTTACAATTCAATATATTAAAATTCAAAGCACAGAAGTTTTGGGATGCTTTAAAATTTTCAAATCAATCTAAGAAATTTAAATTTTCAACCCATTTCAAACCACTTGATACTTGGGAAACGTTCAAAATTTGGTTATGCATAATATTTTGTGCATAAATGAAATGCCACAAAATTAATAATCAATGTTTTTGTGCAGAATGTTCAAATGCTTTTCATCACGCCTTCGCTTCAGGCGGATTTACAAAAGCCAGCTTCTGATATTGCTGATTTTTATTATGTTGGTGGGATTTTTGAAAAATCCTACCTATTTCCTGTGTTCCTCAATCGGCAGGAAATTGGAAGAACACAAACCGACTATTAGCGAATACTCCGAAGAAACTAGTCCAGGCAGCAGGCAAGAAGAATTTAGGGAACTTTCGAGTGACACACATTATTTTAGCAGTCTGGTTCCGCTAAAAATGTCAGAATTGCCGGGATTACCTTATATTTTCCCCAATGGGTCCTTCATGCTTGGGCCACAGGATCAAAGGAATTTCCCAATACATCCCGAAGAATCTCCAGGATACGACCGACTTTTGGAACAGAGTCTTTTCAATCCATCCGCAGCACAAAATGCGGAAATGAAAACAATAATCGTCACTTCCGGGTTCGGGTGGTTCCGGTCTGGACGGGAACCCTTTCTTCGTTGTCCAGTGAAAAACTGCTTCCTTGGGAGACCCAACGAGGTGTTGCTAGAAGAAGGTGATCTGGTGGTCTTCATCAATGATGTCTTTATGCAGAGGACACACAAACACAGCCATCAAACATGGGTGTGTTTATTTAAATTGAGAAATTCAATGGGAATTGATGTACACTATATAGTATATGACTCAATTTGTTCAAGAGATATCCAAATGGAAAAAACGTTTTGTAGGAATAGTGTCCATATGTTGGGAATTGTCCATATGTTGAGATATTATGTCAGCATTTTGGGGATTGTCTGTATGTCAAGACATTGTCCATATGTTGATACATTGCCCATATGTTGATACATTGCCCATATGTTGATACATTGCCCATATGTTGATACATTGCCCATATGTTGATACATTGCCCAAATGTTGAGACATTGCGCATATGTTGAGACATTTTCCATATGCTGAGAGTCCTGAGACATTATCAATATTTTGAGACATTGTCCATATGTTGAGAACATACAATACATTTTGAGACATTTTCCATATGCTGCGAGTCCTGAGACACTATCAATATTTTGAGACATTGTCCATATGTTGAGAATATACAATACATTTTGAGACATTGTCCATATATATGTTGAGATATTGTCCATATGTTGAGACATTGACCAGATGTTGAGATATTGTCCATATGTTGAGACATTGACCATATGTTGAGACATTGTCCATATGTTGAGACATTGTCCATATGTCAAGACATCGACCATATGTTGAGACATTGTTGAGACATTGTCCATATGATGAGACATTGACCATATGTTGAGACATTGTCCATATGTTGAGACATTGACCATATGTTGAGACATTGTCCATATGATGAGACATTATCAATTTGTTGAGACATTGACCATGTGTTGAGAAATTGTCCACATATTGAGATATTTTCCATGTGTTGGGAAATTGTCCACATATTGAGATGTTGTCCATGTGTTGAGACATTGTCCATCAACAGGTGCTGTATATTTTGGAAAGCCCTTTGCATGCTCATGAAAGATCCAGCCCATCACACTCAGTAAATTGGACAGCTACTTACCGCTTAGACTCTGACATTGTCACGCCATACTCCAAGTGGATGTACTTTGATGAACGGATTCAATCAAACCCAATAATACTGCATAATCTTGCGCAGAACAAGACTAAGAAAGTGGCGTGGCTTGTGTCCAACTGTAATGCAAAGAATGCACGTATGCTGTATGCTCAAGAGTTGAGCAAGTACATACAGGTGGACATTTTTGGTGACTGTGGACAGCTGAAGTGCCCAAAAGATAAATCAAGCCAGTGTCTTGAAATGCTAAGAAAGAATTACAAATTTTACTTGTCTTTTGAAAACAGCAACTGCAAGGACTACATCACAGAGAAGTTCTTCCTCAATGCGCTCCGGTGAGTTATTATTTGGAAAGGAAATTATTGATACAAGTTTCTGAGTTCTGAGATGAGTCAAACATATGAATGTGTTCAAAAATTTCATATTTAAATCAGGAGATGTTTTAGATCAGTGTTTCCCAACCTGTGGTCCAAGGACTGGCATCAGTCCACAGAAGTCCATTGGAAATTTTCTTCAGGATAATTTATTTATCAAAAGCATTTATCTTAAAATAAAGTCTGTTGTTATCTTCAACTGAAATTTTGGGAAGACAATGGCAGCTGTGCTGAAATTATCTGATGAAAAAATAAAAGTTGGTTTTTCTCCAAACAATGCTTTGTCTGACAAATTTTCACATGCTGAAATACTGTACATTATTTCAATTTTTGGTGTGACTTCTGAGACACCTTTCTTTGAGCCCAACTTTCTAATTTTTTTAGAGACATTCCACTATAGCTGCCTAATTGGTGCTTAACCCAAATGAAAAAACTTTTAAATACCTGCCATAACGTTTTTCAACCAAACATTTGTTGAGTCTGCAAATATTTTATGGAAATGTTATGGCTTGCAAGGCCTTAAAGGTTGGGGAACACTGGTTTAGATTCTCAGAAAGGTAAGATAAAGTAATTGTCTGAATTATTCCCCATAATCCAATTTTGTGTGAGAATGCCTGCCCAACTGACTTCAAAAATTAAAAAAAAAATGGTGAAACCGTTTGTACTAAGTTTTTGGCCAAAAATTTTCAAAATAAATTAATTTCCAATTTCATATATCTGGATTTAATTGATTCTTGGATCAAAACAATTGAGAGATACGCTGTGTTCATCAAAGGATTTTGACAAAGAAGTGAAAAAAGAATCAAAATTGCGATAAAAGTTCTTTTTTTAACACATTTTATCAATTGAATGCAGCATCACTCGTCTTCAAAATTATTTTAGCAAGTGGCACTTTATTGCCAAGAGCAAGCGTTGAAATTTTTTCGTAGAAGAGAAATGGCACCATCATCCAAATGTTGGCATAAATTATCCGCTTTATATATATATTCAGGAACAACTTGATACCAATCGTCATGGGAGCAGATAAGGATGATTACCTGAAAGTCGCTCCCTTGAACTCGTTCCTCCACGTGGATGATTTTGATTCGCCAAAAGCGCTTGCTGAAAAACTGCATGAAATTGACGCCGACGACCACAAGTTTAATGCATATTTTGAATGGCACGGTACCGGGGATTTCGTAGACACCAACTTCATGTGTGTGCTTTGTGGAATGCTTCATGACCCAGATAAAAGGACTAAAAGCTACGAAGATACTTTGACTTGGTGGCATGGGAATGCTTGCAAACACAGTACATTTGAAATATGAGCCAATGATATAGGATCAATCTTTATTCTATTTTGAAAAGTTTGGATTGGTATCAGATTTTCTTTTTGGAAAGGTTGCTTGTGGATGAATCTGATTGGAAAGAAGTTAAATTTTCTTATTTATTGGCAGTATATATGCATGTTTTTGTACCACTTTCTCAAAATAACATAACTTGACCAATTTAAGAATGGTGAAACTATTTTAAAAACTTCTGTTAATACAAAATGCAACAACTAAACTTTTCTGATTTAATTTTTGAGCACTTAAAAAATTTTAAATTTGAAAAATGGTGTGCTATTGGTGAAATATTTCTATAACTGTATAACACACTTCCACGGAGACTTGAAAAATTATATATACTGTAGTTTGCAAATATGGAATGAATTGTTATCCTGAAAACATTTATGCTTGTTTAAAGAAACTCTCTTTTATGAACTACTTTTTCCTCCTCAAAAAGGAAATATAAAAGTTTCCCAATGCAGCTTTTTTCTTGTTTTGATTTTATTCTTTTCACATCACCCCATGTTGAGAACATGACACATTTTTCTTTAAAGAATATGTATATTCATTTATTTCACTACTGACACTGATGTATGCGTTTGTGCTGCCACTCCTCTGAAATATGGATTTCTATGGAAATATTTTGAGATATGTATGTTGTGTATATTGCATGTAATTGCATTGTGTACATAAGAATATTTAATGATTGTCTTCTTTAGATCTGATGGAAACATGTGAATACATCAAGGAGCCTTATTGGGTGTCATAGATTTCCATGAAAGTAGATATAACACCCAATAAGGAATGGTATAATCCTCAGAATTAATCTAGAGTCTTTTGCAATTAGCGTATTACTTGAGTACCACGCGCACCTTTTTTCCCAAATTTCAGAAGAAAAAAAAGGGGTGTGCATCATAAGCGGGTACAAAATTTCCAAGAAGTTCGAGGAAGTTATGTTAGCATTATACCTAATTCTAATGGAGAAATTTGGAACAAATATAAGAAGAAAATATTTTTGTATTGAAAAAGTTGAAAATTCATCAGATTTTTGTGCAATTCACACCTAAAGTCACATTTTTTGTTTTAATTTTTGAAATTTTATGGTTTTAGATTCACTAAAAATTGGGATGCGTGTCTTACTTGAGGATCAGATTTTTGCAAAATTTTCAACTGAAAAACCCCTGTGCGTGCCTTACTCAAGGGCGTGTGGTACTCAAGTAAATATGGTACTTCAAAGAGAGGCTTGCAAGCATTTAGCAAGACTTTCTCTCAAATCATCTCAATGTTATCTTTCTTGTTTGACATTTTTACTGCAATGAATGCATCTTGTATATTATATTTGAACATGTTTTATTTTACCAAATGAATCCAGACAACACAATATGCAGAGGATTTTCTTTTATTTTTGTTTTTTTTTATCTGGGAACTTGAACCATTTTAAGCTACCAGGTGGAATATATTCAGTGTTTAAAATTCTTCCACCCGTTTAATGACTTTCACTAGAAAGTTGAAAAGCTATCTTAAATAACGTGAACATTTGTATTATTCTGTGTATCTTTGACAGTTTGTTTTTACATAAATCAATGCGAAGTTGGTGCTAATGGCTGGGCCAGTATACTTACTGAAGCGTTTCAAGTCTTGAATTGAATCCTTTATAAACTTGAAAATTGAGTTTTGATTGTAAAGAAAGTGTGGGGTCGAGAGAGTGCGTGGAGAAGCCCGAGCGTAGCATCCTCGCTCGGGCTCCACATATGAAAAAGTACGACGCCTCCGGAACCAAGGTCCAGCATGGCACCCGGTTACCGCCTGGCGGAACCGGGTGAGATAAGAAGATTATTATTAATATTATAATTGTCTGCGCATCGAATTCCG